CGTCTTGTGCGAGGAGGTCTGCAGTGTGCCCGAAGTCGAAGTGGGCAGAGAAGCGTAGTATAGTGATAGGGTAGAGGCAGCTAGCGCTGCCATAGCTATAGTAGTGTGCGTGTGTGTGTTGTGTGAGTGGGTGGAGTGTCGTGTGTGGGATATCCAGGGTGATCCTGAGTGTGAACAGTGAGATGTTGGGCGCACAGTCGCCATAGCCAGTGGAAGTGAACTTACCTGGAAGCCATATCTCTGTGTACTGTGTGGGCGCATGTCACCAGTTTGTTGCGCTGCTGTTCAAGGTGCATGAAAAGTGTGAAAGAGTCGAGTCTGATTGCATTGGTATCGGAGCTGGTACCCGCTGTCCCATGCGCGAAGTCGTGTGCAGGGTTGAGGCGCCATAGCAGAGGTGGCCGCTGAAGGTGACAGTCCGCCATAGCGGACTCGAGGAGGAAGAAGCCGCCGCGCACCTGCAAGGAGACCACGACGAAGGAGAAGACTAAGAGAGAGAGAGAGAGAGAGGGAGAGAGATGAGTGATACAAGACTGGGTGACTACCTGCTGCGCTGAAGATACCGCTACGGCGAGAGAGAGAGAGAGAGATGAGCGATACAAGATTGGCTGTTACGTACCTGTGAAGTTGCTGCGCAGACCCACGAAGGAGGAAGAAAACGGCCATAGCCGCGGAGCTCTACCACAGAGTGACGAAGGAGGACAGAGAAGGAGGGACTGAGGAGAGAGAGAGAGGAAGAAGTGTGGAAGGAGGGACATCAGAGAAGAAGACAGACATAGCCGAGGGTGAAAAAAAAAGAAAAAAGAAAAAAAAAAAGGAGAAAGACAGCGAGGAAGAAGAGGGTGAAGGTAGGGGAAGAAAGGGACAAGGGCGGTGAAGGTGAAGGTGCCGACAGCCATAGCCGAGGTGGAAGTTGACCGGAGGGTTGATCGGAAGTTGACAGGAGGGTTGACCAAAGTGTTGACCGGGGTCTTACAACATTGACCCAGCGTTGACCGAGGAGTTGACCGGCGCCGTTGACCAAGACTTTGACCAAGCTAGAGTTGGTAATATCTCGCCAAGCCCTTAGCCTACCCCCTCACCCTGTGGATGTGCACTTACCCGACGGTACTTGCTGAGTCTGTCTGTCGCTTCTTTCTGCATTGAGTCTCTTCTGTCCTAGGTGATAGGACTCTGTGCGTGAAGGATAGGTCTGGATTACGAAACCTTAGTCTGACCTTGTAGGGCTGAGGCCGGGGC